TTGACTATGTACACACAGCCGTCATTTGCGACAAGAATGAGTGGGCTCGGTTGCAAGAGAAAGTACGTAGAATCAACACTTCAATGTGATCCCTGAGACGTTTGCGGAGCTCGGCGCAATAGACGAACTCAACCTCGCTGTTCCGGAGTCTGAAAGAGTCCTATGCTCCAGCTCCTTTGTGCTTCCCGGGTTTATCACCCACAATGTGCCATTTGCTTTCCTATTGCCCTGCTTGCCGGTGGATCGTCTGCTTGGTCTTCGGCACCATTGGTGATGTGCGCTATGCACTCATTACTGCTTTTTTTGAACAATTACACCTTTGAGATCTTTGGACTTGAGTGAACATGCAGCTCTCCCAATTTTCCAAGCCTGCCAGGCTTTAATTTTTACCATCTGATCAGCCAGACTACATACCTTACCCCAGACTGACTTAACACAAATCCCTCGCTTTGGAGGGCCCTGGTACAGGGCTGGCGCGAAGCGCGACCATCGGGGTGCTCTGCACCCCCAGTCCCGGGAGGCTTTGTTAAGTCAGACCCCAGATGGGACAAAGACCATGGACAAGGGTCGCTGCCCATTTACTCCTTCCCTTTTTTGACCCCTTATCTTGTCCTTTGTCTGCCTCTCTATCTTACCCCATTCACATATTCATAGTGCGTAATTGGCAAACCCAATCTACACCTGGAAAAAAAAAACACATCTCCTCATTCTTTTGAATTCTTTCCTGTGAGTGTGGATTTTTAAGATACCTTCTCCAACAGCCATCAGAAGGTTACATCTGCATCTTAGTTTTCTGATACAAACACCGGTCTGGAGCCAAAGAGGGCTTCACTGCAGAATGTGTCTCAAGGTTGGGGACATTTGGACTAGGCTATCCTAACAAAGCTTCTTACATACAAGTGGGGTTTCTGACTTGAATTAATTGCCTAATTTTCATTCATTTATTTTATTTAGATGGTTACATTTACTACAATCAAATATATATAATATGATATCATAAGATAAATGTTTGTGAAACTGTAAGTTGTATTTATTCTTTTTCTACTGGAAAGGAGAGTAAAAAAAAATGAGGAAAAATAAGGTAGGGTAAGTGAAGCATTAAGTGATATGTTATCAAGTGTTTTCCTTACTACTTCACATGTCTACACATACATTGTGTATATTTGTTCTTTTTCTTTCTTAATGTAACAAAACAAACAAACATAAAAACCTTCCAAAAGTAAAAAAAAAAAAAAGAGGAAGAAAGAAATTAGAAAAGGAAAAGACCAACTAGAGAGGAGATTAAAAAATAAAAAAAGAGCTAATGATTACTAACAACAGCATGTAAATAATCATAATGTATATTTTTCAGATAGAGAAACAAGTCAAGTCTATAGATATATATATACATGCAGAGAGATAGAGGGGGATTTGAATTATTTTTTGGTGCTTTTGTTTTCATTTTTTTTTCTGGTGCAGGGGTTGGGAGGGTAAATCGTAGGAGGGAGGAGAGGGTTTTATAGCAGGAATTAAAAGAATAAAGGAGGGTTTTAATGTTGTAGTAAAGATAAATCTGATCTAATTCATACAAGCCCGACGGAATTAAACATGATAGAAATAAGGATGTGACTATTTTGTTTTGTTGAATTGGTGTTTATAGTTGATGTATATATATGTGATGATTGAGTAGGTGGGGGGGGGGGGTTATTAAAACATGAGGTGGTAGTTATCAGTTGATCGATTCTTTCAGATCACATACAAAGGTAGCAGTAGGACTTAGTAAGCAAAAGAGATCGGGACGGGATGAGAGTGTATGCCAAGAAACTGGGAGATATGGTAGTGGACGAAACGAGGTGTTAAAAGAGGACCAGCAGATGGGGGGGGGGAGGATGGATGCTAATAATTAGGGGAAATCTCGGCCACATCTTTTCTACATTCAAAGATGGAGGATGTGGGAAGAGAAAGAGAAAGGAAGAACCAGCAATTCTTTCTCTTCTTCTTCTCTTTTTTTAAGTCTTTGCGTTTTGCGTTATTAGGATGAAGGATGTGGAGATCATTTTTTTTACTATTCGACTCGGTCTGACAGATTCAACAATAAGCTAGCCAAACATCGTTTCGTGATTAGGTCTCCTTTCAAGACTTGACTGAATGTTGCATCTCGTAAAGGTTCGGGTAAACAAGCTCTTAAAGCCTCTCTAGCTCTGTGTCATGAAGGTCAACACAAAAAAAAGTAGGGGAGGGGAGAGTGATCAGAATAAATACTAAAGCTAAACTGGGTGCAAAAAATATCATACCTCAAGTTATCGCTTAATCTTAAATAACACCTCACGACATGTTTCAAGAGTCTCACGGCCTGGGTTTCGACCAACTGGTTGACCATGTTGCTGAGCACCGTTCCCACAGCATAGAATCGCTCGTAAGTCTGACAGATGTAGGCCAGACCCATCTCATCGAGGAGGATTTTTTGGACGATGAAGATGGCGACGGTCTTGCTCAACTCGGATCCAGTCTCCATGATCCTGAGACATAAGGGGATGATCTCAGTCGAGAGCAAGAAGTTGATCACCTCTGAGTTGTCGTTCTGTTTCACCAGGGCGCCGATCACCCCGAGCGAAGTCAGTCGGAGGTATTCAAACGGTCGAGTCTTCGAGGTCGTATTCAGGAACGGGTAGAGGAATAGTGGCAGATGGGCTTGTAAGAATAGCGCTCGAGTCTCGTTGTGCGATGCGACACATTGGAGGAGTGCGAGTGCGTTGCAGACTCGGTTGGATGCATTGGCGGTTAACGAAGGGGGTGATAGGAGTGGATAGACGGCGACGATCTCTTGTAATAAGCAGGACATGACACCTGTTTTTTTTCGTTTTGATGATGATTAGCACCTCGGATGATAAGTGGGAAAAGAGAAGAAACTGTTTCAAATGGATTTTGACTGACCGAATGAATGCCATAAAACAAGGGCGAGATCGTCCCATTGTTCGCGCTTCTTACTGAGTTCTAAGAGTGCCAATTCTCTGGTGAGTGGGTTCAAGAGGTCGACGATCAAATAGTGAATCTTTTCGTTCTCGGATTGTGAGTTCTTTGGATGCTCAGCCCCGGTGGGTGAGCCATGCTTGGAGGACAAGAGCAGTTTCCCAGTCGAACTGGACAGGATATGCGAGGGTACGTTGATGGGTAATCCGGCAGAACTGGGGGTATTCACTGAAGGTGGACCAATTAAGGAGGGTGTATCTACTCGACTGACTATGCCTGGATTGATTGAGATGATATCAAGGGATCAGTTACTGGCCATTGCTTGAGATTGTCCTGGGTCTTACCGTTTTGAACTTGAGAGGGCGTGGAGCTGTTGTTGGAGTTGAGGAGTGAGCCGTATGATTCCCTGGAAGCGGATAGGGGGGCGATTGGACTGTTGAGAGCCCCCAGGAGTAGGTTACGTTGTTGATTTGAGTTGGAGTTGAGGTTGGGACTGATGAGTGATCCTAGGTGGAGATTGTTGAAGTTGTGAGTGGATTGATTAGTGGAGTTGGTGGTAGTATTAGTGTTGTTGTTCAGTCTGCCTTGATTATTTGAGGCGAGTGGTGCTGAGTTTGGTTGAGACTGGATTGGATTGGATGGTGGTGATGAACGAAAGTAAGACTGATTTGATTGTTGCTGTTGCTGCTGCTGCTGCTGTTGTTGTTGTTGCTGAGGGAAGGCGTGCAGCATGATGAATGGACTGTTATTTGTGATTAGGTTGAGGTTGAGGTTGAGGGTGAGTGTCTGGTGGGTTGAGGTTGGGCAGTTGGCAGTCTGGGCTGTTCGGAGTGGGGGAACCATCAACAGTCCACCCGGGGAAGAGCCTCGCTGCTGCGCAGACACCCGAACAGTACTACGCATTGAATATGCATCCACACACACACGTCTGCGATCCAGATGCTCAACCTGGGGGATTCAGCAGGGAATCAAGATCACCTGACACCAACCTGAAATGTATGCAATCCAAACAAACACCTGAATCCAGAAACACGAGAATGAGACTGATCCTGAGAATGATTCTGGTGATTACCTCAACCTAGCTTAAGTATTATAGACTAAAATCTAAAGTCCCAGCTTTTCCTTTGGTGCTAAGAACTCAACCCAATTGATAACTAGTTTTCATAACCAATTAACAGAAAACAAAAAAATAAACTAATCTTTCAAACCAATCAGATGTGTAAAAACAATTTGAGAACATGATTGGATATATTATGTACGTTTTATGGAATTAAAGAATGGTCGGGGCACAAAGTAAAGACTTTAATTTTGAATGAAACCCTTGATGATACACATGAGAATCCAAATTAATCTCACATAAAACTTGCATTCACTGATCAGGAGATCATGTTTCCTTTCTTTTTTTTTCTTTGATTTGTTCACATTGGGTGGGGTTCCTGCTGGAATTTAGATGCCAGTCTTAGATTCAGAATAAGAAAGTCCTGATAAATTGGTTTTAGAATTCAGGTTTTTCAAACAAAGATTCATATAACATAAAAAATTTGAATGGACCTTTTTGATTGATTTCTACATTGATTATTAGAAATTCCTCCTGTGAAGTTTGAGCCAGTGTCTCTTGTGTGAAACACAAACTCTGCCTTTTTTTTTGGGGGGGGGGGGGTGAAGGGCTTTGTGAGTCTAGGATGAGGAGAGAAAGGTTAAAACTTGAATTATTTATCCATATCTTTAGAATGTGGCGAGCACTTGATTTTGAAAATATATTGGCACTTAATTGTAAAAAGTTATAAATTATTGATGGGTAGAATTATTGAGATTAAGCAGAATTTTGGACAGCCACACTATGTTTGGGCTGAAACCCTCAATTGTTTCCATTGAGTAGCCATTGATTAGCTAGATTTATTGCAATTTGGGATGCTTATTTCATAATATGCACATGATGATAGGGTGTTGAAACAATGTGATTTTCCATTCTAGCACAAGGGGGGGGGGGTTGAAACAGGATGTAACAGAGAAAACAACAATTGTTGGCAAGCATTTCTTAGTAAAAGAAATTATTTTCCCTTCAAGTGCATGATTGATTGACATAACTGTACATTTCTTTTATGAAAAAAAAAGAAAATTTGCAAAAATGCAGTCCAAAAAAAATGGTTCACAACTTATTTTAGTTTTTTGGCTTGGACGCAAAGTTGCAGTTAGCGTTGAAAGTAGGTACATCAATCTGTTTGATGGGACTTGACTGTGGGTAAAAAGAAATGAGATTGAGTTTTGATCAGTAAGCATCCAATAGCACACCACAATGGGGGAAATAAAATTCAAAAGAAATCCCTTATACATACATTAACTGCAAAATTGGCAAGGCAACATCCACCTGTAACATTTTGATATGATGCCCCCAGTGTGTTACAATTGTATGTGGGTGGGGAAGATTCTGCAAGTTGCACTAGAATTCAAGATGAAAAAAAAACCCACTCTGTTAGTTCCTTGGGAGATTTTATTTTGTGCAAGGAAACTTTATATCCAAAAAATCTCAATTAAACTAAGGCTTACCCCAGTAGTTTGATGGTTGTTCACCTCCGGGTGTAAGGATGCATATAGCCTTTGGTCCTTTTTGATTTTTGTCACATTTAAAAGCATCAGGTTTTTTGGTTTTAACTTCCAAGGCTGTGCCCAACAGAATGACTGATATGAAAACTGGGAAAAATTCTATAATCTGCATCCTCAAGCAGTTAGTTATCTGATACTTGAAATCTATATTTTGGGAGTGAATATTACAGCTGTCGATGTTTTGTATTTGAATACTGCTAGATTATCTGATGACTGCGGGTAATCAATTGAGGATTTTGATTCCGGATTGATGACTTGGCTATTGTATCAATGCTATGAATGCCGGACAAATGCTTTGGATATTGGGTGGTTGATTTTGTACTGGAGGGGGATGGTTTGGATGCTTGAAAAGCCATTGCAATATAGGGCCTTTTTATCTTGCAGAGGCGCGCCACCAGAAGCAAAGTCAAGGCATGTGCATGGAGGGCGAACCTGAGGAACTAGAAACATCTATGTTCGATTGCCATGTTACCTTCGACGGGGTTCTCGTTTCGAGACCCCCGACAGATGTGGGTACCTCACAGCTTACCAATGTACATAACTCTTCCCCTGTTCAGTCATTTCAAAATTAATCAAGATTGGAGGATACAGAACATGATAGAACTGTTTAGAATATAATATTCGAAAGGGTAGGGGCTTCGGAATAAGGAGGCATGTCCTTGGATGCCGAATTCGGTGAAGGCAATGAGCCGCGCCATAAAAACAACTACGTAAATGTACCAGTCTCAGCAGTGAGCATGCCGAGACCTTTCCAGCGGTGAGCTGGCAACGGGGTTGCAGTGTCCGATGTTTGCGAGGAACATTCGACTCGATTGACGAAGGCCAATTGTGGAGCATGGGGACAGGGGAAATGTGGCCTCGGGCTTCGGATACCAAAGCCAATGAAGCTGATAACCCAGGCGCTCGGAGCGACCATGGCAGCGGAACAGGAGCTTGCATGCCGAGGCCAGACCTGATTGATCACCTGGGTAGTAGGGACGTAGTCGGCAATAGTTGTGCGGAGTCAGATACATATCTGAAATGGTTGAATCAGTTGATGCAGGGGGATGGCAATGGTATTATCTAACTTGAAAATTAACGAGGCTGTGCTGAAAGTGCCCTTGCTTCTATGACCTCCGGGCCTTATCAGCCTGGACCCGGGTGGCATTGAACAAGGCCGCCGGTGGAAACGGCTCGAGCAAGGAAGCCACAACTTTCAAGTTGAGAAATGCACACCAAGCCTTCGTTCTCTTGATCTTTTCGTGATAGTTTAGCTTCCTATTGTCAAGTTTTTTTAGTTGAGCTTATGCATGCGTTTTGGTCACAAATGTGGTACATAAAAGCTGCTGAGTGAGTTTGGCACAGGCTTTCCATGTATAACCAAGTGATGAGGTTGGGAAGCCATGGTGGTTTAGTTTACTAGTAGTTGTTAACTCAGCGACTTTTGTCAAGTGAGGATTAAGTCCTACAAGTTCCAATAGCCCGGTCCACAATAGCCAGTTCTGATCGCTGATGACCTTCATGTTGAAACTTGCTGATGACATTTTTTTTAGGATGGGTCTGGAATAATTTCGGGAACTCTAGACTATGTATCCACTAATGGATGTTTTTACAAGCATTAATGATTTGCTGATTGCATCCAGGAAGCTATGAGGACATGGAATAATTGGAATAATCCTGTCATGACCTATCCGCTCACCCTCCCTACACTGGAGAAGTGCACAAAGGAATGCATGCAAATGCACCTCCAAAGTGCAAATCCCGCGGAATTTGCTCGAATCCCGATTCCAATCCCATTTCCAATCCCGCAAATTCCTCCCCCCAGATTCATTTTCAGAGTAGGATGTGGTAGCCCACACCGGTCGTACTCCAAATCCAATCTTTCAGTAACTGAGACTGTTCACAGTAACTCCCCCCATCCCATCACGGTAAGTGCATGTAAATACATAGAAGTGTATGTACATACACTACACATGACAGGAGTAACACTACACAAATATGTATATGCTGGAAGGACGGTCCACCCGAGACCGTCCTACCCTAACCCAAGCAGCACTCTACCTCTGAGACCCGTTCCCTGTATCAGTGCAAGCGGTTTCACCGTTGACCTCATTGTTGTGATGTGTCTTCCTGCGTCTCATTCTGGTAGAAGATTTCAAGAAAAAAAAGCATGATCATAATGGTGATAACAATTACAGACAGACTTAGTTGGCTTTCATTCAAGATAGTGAAATAAAGATATTATAAGAGATAGATATTATAAGAGATAATGCGGAAACATTGGAGGAAGATGCGATTAAGTGTTGATAATGTTGTTTTTTGGAAGCTTTTCAACTGTGGGACTCTTGGTACTCGTCAAGATCATCATTGGCAGCTGATTCACCATCTGATTCTTGATCTTTGAGAACAACTTCCTCTAAGAGCAAATTCAGGCTGAGTGTTGAGTCGTTGTATATATCTAATTTAAGAAACTCTATTAAGGCAAACCACGTGTTGGGTATAACTGTGTGGCCCACTAAGCCCTGCAATACCATTTCTTCTATGGTTACATGCCATGTTACCAGCAGTGCTTCATGCTGCTGCTGATAAGTTTCCAACTCATCACGTAGCAAAGTCTTTGCACGGTTTTCATCTTCACCTAGTGCATCATTCAATGTATTCTGCAGCCCACTGCTTAATGGACCTAAAAAATGAAGATTTTGATCAATCAACTTTGGTCAAGTAGTACCAACACACAGACATAAACAAAAACGTACCCAGTACACATTGATCAATGCATGATTTCACCTGATCTCTGTGGGAAATCCCCCATGAGACGGTCCTTCGCAACTCAATCGTCAGTTGAACAAGTTCCTCTTTTGAACGTTCCAAGGCAAGGACCGCATGGATTCCAGACCGCACGTTCGGATTGATGGCCCATGGGTCCTTAGATAGGCACATGTACCCATCGTTCCAAAAGGGGTCGTCCAGCGGGATTTTCTTAAATTGGTGATAGTCAATTGGTGCATTTTCTGGCAAGTCGAGTTGTTCAGGACAGTGGTTTCTGAGGTAGTCAGTACGCCGAGTCTGGAAAGTGTTTAGAACCGAAATGACGGATTTCTTTCGACGATCCAGGGCATCGAAGATCTTCTCCTTCAAGACAGTTCCCAGGCGCTCGCCCCGACCCTTTGAATCTCGCAATGGTTGCAATTCACCTTGAATCTGAACGGCAGCCTTATAGAGTGCTAACTTGGCACTGTAGAGGAGCCCCAACCGTTTTTGTTGGTCCTCTATTGAATATCAATATTAGTTGTATCCTGTTGCCTTTATCAGTTTTCAAAACAAAAAAAGGCATCTTACCATCCTCAATATTAGCTGTTCCAAAATGAGAGCCCAGTTTTTTCGTTTCCTCATCTTGCTTGGCCTGGAGCATTTGGATCTCACTCAACTGGTTCATCATCTGGGTGGGATCGGACTGCGAGTGTGATTTTAATCCTGACACAAGCATCTCACTGGACATGCAGAGGGAAAGAAGTTAGCTTGAAAACATGTAACAAGAAAGAAACATATGGTCACATACACAAGTGTTTTGATGGTTTCACCTCGCTCAAAGAATTGTGCTAGCTCCTCTTTGTGGGCTACCTCCTCCTCATTTAGATTGGCATGGAAAGCACGCTGAGCTTCCCATTGTGCCCGAAAAAAATCCTCGGTGAAGCAAGTGCCACGTTGATGTGGGTTTGGCTGACTCAGAAGCTTGTCCAGATTTTTCCGAGCATCTTTTTGATGAGTGATTGCATGGAGTGTCTTCCTCTTCAGAGTTAATACTAAGAAAAAAAATCAGTAAAGAAACCCAAATGCATAATTAGAAATAAGTGAAAACAACATACACAGCTTCTCCATTCCAAGCATGTTGTGGAATACACTTCGATGATTGATTCCACCAAGCCGACGATTTCGAGTCGCATACCTTTGAGGGCCCACCAGTGGGGAAAGATAGGACCACAGACGCTCCAACCCCTCACCGTCTGTTAAGCCCCATCCCTTGTTGTATCTTGGATTGAACTTGAGTTGACATGCCCAGTCATGGACATAGGAATGAAATACTGCTGTAGCAAATTTCATCCTTGGAAGATGTTTGGTAAGTAAATTCCGGGATTCAAAAAATTTTCCCAGGGTGCAGCCAATATCGTAAAGAACACCTAATTGAATATTGGAATTTAGTTCGCCAAGGAGCCGCTTCAAGATTGACATAGGTAGGCCACGTCCTTCTCCCGATTTGTGTATATTACAGAAATAGATTACTGAATCGTGTCGGCAGCAACATCCGAACAATCCAGTGTCATCACAACCTTTCCAAGTGCTGGCGTTTCGTCGGTCATCTGCAGCCTTGTGCTGCTCTGTACATCTGTCTTTCTGATGAATTACAGAAGAAATATGAGTTGACTGAACAGAGAAGGGTAGTACATAAGAGACATACCGCTTTCTCAGTCTTTTTTTGAGCTTTTTCGTGGGTTAATATTTGGTCGTTAGAGGCTTGGATTTCTTCTGGAGTGACAAACAGATGGGGAGTATGAAGGGGCAGGTGATTCTTGGAGGCCTTCTCATGATGTCGGTGTTGAAAATTTCCATCGAGGCAGAGGAATACTTGACTAGTGTCTGAGGGTTGTGATTCATGATCGACCGGCAGCGAAACACCAAAACAAGCTGGACATGACCGTTGGGCTAGAATGTCTTGTGAAGAGCAGGCGGTTGTGGTCTGAATTAAATCTTGTTCTAACCGCTTCAGGTGTCGGTAGGCATCGACTGAACCTGAAAAACAACTCCGAAGATCCCTGGGCTATGTGAAAGTCAGAACAATCACCACTGAGGAAAACATGAGTTCTTGCCACTATACCTTCTTTTTCTCCTTGACACACAGCCTGATTGAAATTGTTTCGTTCCACCTCCGTATGACTTCAGTAAATGAGGTCAAATGGGTGTTGCATATATTCCACAAGAGATCATAAAAGTGAAGCAGACGTAGAGAAAAAGCAGTCTGAGGGAAAAGGGGTGTGCTTGCAATATAACCGTTAGCCAACATGTTTATTGGGTCAGGAAGGCAGGAGCAAAATGCCATTTTGGTTCGCTTTTGACCTGTCAGACAAAATGAATATAAGTGCTCAATCTGAATAGCATATGTTCAATGAAACAACTCACCCATGAGATCAATGAGGTCAACCTCTCTCCAATTCCGCTGTCCTGGAGTGCATTTACACAGGTCCTTTGAAAAGTCTTCAAGACAGCCAATCTGGGACCAGTTTTGCGTTTTCTTTTTCAAATGGAGGTAGGCTGGGAACATCGATATCATAAGATCTGACCAATTCCTCAATTTTTGCTGCTGTATGAGTGCTTGATGGTGTGATCGAATTTGTCTGAGGGATTCGGCGTCTTCCGGTCTCATCTCGTCTGGAATGTCATACCAAGCATCCTGGTCTTGATCGTGATGTGAGGTTTCTTGGTGATCGTGATGTGAGGTTTCTTGGTCAGCGTTGTGAAGGTAATCATCTTCAGGTATCAGTTCAGTCAGCGGCACAGGAACACTAGGGGTAGTTATATCTGATAATTCAGCTGCCGTGTGTTTGCGCATCTTATTCCGGTAATCCTTCTGGGATCTCGTTTCGATCCGTGGCATCCGTGATCCTTTGTGGAATTGGTGGAGACTAGATTTTTGCTTTCTGGCTGTCATTTTTGATGGGTTCGAATGATGAGCAATCGTCAGTTATGCTAAGATGGTGGTTTATGTTGATATTTTCGGAAATGTTGGCAAATCCGGTCATCTCTGACTGCGCGAACCTGAACTCACATGCCTCATATACAGTATCACTACCCCCAAATCCTGTTCGGCAATTGTTTTTGGGCACCTAGCTGTGCTGTAAATTTCAACTCAAAAATAAAATGATCTTGAATAACAGGACAATAGTAAGAATATTAATTGGTAGCTGAGGAGATAAAGCAATAACAATTCTGAGGAAAATGTAATTTTTCTGGTAAGCATAAATCGTGTTCTCAACAACGGATTTGAAAACAAACTTGGTTTAAAGAGCTGATCAATAATAGCTGTAGTATGAAATAATAGCTGTAGTATGAAATGATAGCTGTGAGAAAGTTATAATTCATTTAGACTTCTCCCTCTCTCTCTGTTTCTCTGCTTGTTTTTGGTCTTGTTTCACAATGCTTTTTTCTGCATTGTCTATTTGTTTCTTTTGACCAGCTATACAGTCACCAGTTGCTGTACCATTGATGTAAGCAACAACAGCATTTGACATGGCTTCAGACATTTGACAGGAAAAGCCAATTCGAGTATACTTGTCGGACGGTGAGGATCCAGCCAATGTCTGATGACGGTGATCTTTGGACCGGAACACACACATGGTCACACCAATGACTTTGTTCAAGTCCAAGTACACCTGGAAATCACGAAAGGTGAATTGTCCACCTATCATATCAAATCCATCGTCTGCCAAGATGGGATCATCTTTGTCCGAGGTCCGAGGATTCAAGATCGGTATCCAGCAAACAAGGGTCCAATTGTTTGCATCCGAATCGAAATGGGTCTCGTTGAAAAAATCGTACATCGTAAATGTGAGAAAAGAAGCAAAGTCGAGAGCGTGATACGACGACGGAGGCCATTCCATGTGGGCCATTGAGGGTAAATTATTTTTAATGAGAGTTGCTCGGTAATCTTCAAACACTCCAGGAGCCAGTTCTTGAAGGTGAACAGATATCCAGTCGTTGGCCTCTCTAACGGCAACAGCTTCATCCTCGGCAACGTAGTTTGACTTTCGCATCATGGCAACCAACCGAGTAACAGAGCAATAACGGCCGAACGCCTCGCATGCCTTCGAGCACTTCCGCCATCCATCTGCCCACATGGTTCCACCCATGTGAGGGCCATTGTTTTTGACTGGTGCGATGTAATGAGTTCGGGAGAGAAAAAAGCACACGAGCTTTTCCCATCCAAGCAACTCATCTGATGGCATCGAGGAAAACGGGATAAATTTAGCCTTGCAAAATGCTTCCTGGCCTCGTGGTGTAATTATGACTGTGCCATGGTCAAGACCTTTGTAGGAGGATGCAAGGGTTTCTTGTGAGGTGTGCATCACATCGGGTTCGGGGTCATGTTGACGGGCAGGAGGAATGAAGTAGTAGAAGGGTTTTTTCTTGAGGGGCCCAAGTTGTTGAGATGAAGGAGACTGGATCGGATTCTCTGGGTCTTGGGAAGCAACAAAGGGACTGTTGGCTTTGTGCCGAAGTCGATTCCATCGTTTGATGTCCTCATCAGGTCGGACCCGTTTTTTCCTGTCAAGGAGGTCAAAAACATCATAGGAAGTTAGTCCGTAAATTCTCAATTGGCTGGATTCATAGGTCTGATAGTTTGAGATTGATAGAGGAGAGATTGATCCAAATGATAAGAGATTGATTTTTCAGGTTGGAGAGGTGAGGTGCGAATGATGCTCGTGCCTCACATCCAACCTTGTGAAACAGAGGTAAAAGGAGAGAAGCCAGAACAACTGAGACAAAAAGATTAAAGGCAGGCTTACTTCAGTTCGGTCCCTCTGGCAGTCTTACAGCTCACTCCACTATTTGGTGTAACAAAGGCCGACCCAGTTGATACGAAGCTTGATAGAAGTTGTTTGTGGAAACTTCCGGCAGCAAATTGTACTTCAGGAAATTGTGGATTGATCTTGCACCTGTCAGGGAGGTCAGGAACATAAAACAAAGGTGGTCAGTCCATTGTTCATCGGCTGTAATGAAAAAATTCATCACTTTGATTTGAAAAGAGGAGGAATGAGATGAGAGAATGATCTCAGTTTCAATTTGCAGGTTGGAGAGGTGAGGTGCGAATGATGCTCGTGCCTCACATCCAACCTTGTGAAACAGAGATAAAAGGAGAGAAGCCAGAGCAACCGAGACAAAAAGAATAAAGGCTGGCTTACTTCAGTTCGGTCCCTCTAGCAGTCTTACGGCTCACTCCACTATTTGGTGTAACAAACGCCGAACCAGTTGATACGAAGCTTGAAAGAATTTGTTCGTTGAAACTTGCGGCGGCAAATCGTCCTTCAGGAAGTTGTGAATTCATTAATGGCCGGTTGGGATGGTTTGGATGATTGAATCGGCCTTGAAGCTCAGACGAAGGTTGGGATTCTCTGAAGGTTCTGTCACTCATGCAAAGATCTAATCAACTTATGGGCTGGCGTGTATATTTTTCAAGGAGACCGAGTCGATCAGTCGGGTAGCAGCAAGTGATGAGCAGGAATAATGAGCAAGCAGGATCGAGGGAATGGCTATTGAGCTATTCAACATTAGCTGCGAATGAAGGTGATGAAGACTTACCTTGAGTCGGTGGCCTGGATCTTTTTCTAGGAGACGGAGTCGTTTGTGAGTTATCAGTCGGGTAGCGAGTCGTTTGTTAGTTATCAGTCGGGTAGGGGTACGAAATGAGCAGGCAGGAGGTGATGGCAATGTACGAATGAAAATTTTCATTTTGTGAGGGGCTACCACTTTTCCTCAAGAGGGGGTTCAGAACTTCCCCCACATTTACACAAGCCTTTTAACCTCTTGGCCATCGTCATGACCACAGCTCCATTACCGACTCACTAGATACCATGGGCTGGCTACTATCGCTCGACTCGTTCAATCGCTCATCGCCAATCAACCTCGTCCAACTCTGCTCTCGTTCGATCCGCCCCCACAGCGGGAAGAGGGGGCGTACTCGAACAACCGGGGGATAGCCCAGCCGATCATCCTGTTCCGATTCTGGTGTCTGACCAAGCTCTCAACCTCAGCGATCGGCCAACATCTGAGCCACTTACGGGTCCGGATCCCGGGGCGGAATGTGGCGACAGCTTTTCTGGATAATCCCGACGAGTCGATCAGAGTGGGCAGACAGACCTGTAAGCTGCCGCGACCGCCGTTCCCAAGCTTGAGGCTCTTGGACCTCTCGACAACGATCCTGTTGCCTTCTTCAATCTCTGTCACCTTGGTCGGCGCCCTCCTCCGCCGTCTGCCCTCGCTCACTCATGTCCTTGTCGATCGCACTCAGCTCCTCATCCCTCCCCGCTTCTTGGCCGACGTCGAACGCGTCAAAGACGATCTTCAAAACCTCGGCTCCGTCGTCGCTGCCGCTGGTGTCTCCAGAGCTAACGAGGCTCAGAAAGTTTGGAATAGACTCTATAAGTGCTTTGAGACCGAACTCGAGGCGCTTCTTGTTCCGCCGTCGAGATTTACATCTCAGCCTGATACTCCTCCTGCTCCGCCGATCCTTAACCCATCCACTTCTTCTTCTTCGACTACTACTAATGGTACTAGACGGAAAGGAAGAAGCGCATATGCCAGTGCCCCTCGCTGGAAATCTACCCCAACTACTGCTCAAACTTCGACTTCAACAGGATCGACTACACCTGTGAGTCCCCTCGACTCGGGTTCGAATCGGTCGATAAGACGGAAGTTGATAGACCAACGAATGCCGGACAAAGTGACGATCCTGGCCGGCCTATCTAACCTCATCTCGCTTTCCTGCGGAACTGATCTCCCGCCTAACAATCCTTTCAACCCAGACGAAAGTTTGGTTGCCTTCTGGGATTACAATTAGACATTTATGTTCAATTCTTACCTTGTCCTTTTCCTTGAGATATGTTTACATCTCAATGCATATGTACAACTGTAAAAACAAGGAGTGTCGATTCATTCTTGTCTGTTCTGTTTTTTGGGCAGGAAAAGAAGAATAGGCCTCCTGATCTTCTTTCTATTGTTCTTCATTGAGCATGAGCTCTATTAAACTTGATTCTGGATTTGTGAGATCATCCTGAGTGGGTGAATCCGGACGCGTGGTACACCGTCCGGATTCACGTTCAATGCACTAACTAATGATCCATGTGCCTTTGCTCTTGATGTTGTCCAGCTTGATGACATCCAGTCAATCTCGGTCGGTTCTTGGGAGCCTTCCTTGCAAAATAACTAAATACGCAGTGGAATAGTTACAGTCAGCTCACCAAGGACATGCTGACATCCCAACGGTTGCCAATGAAGGGTCAACCTGATAAGATCAAAGGTCGGCCGCATGTGACATTCAACCTCAGCCGTTCGTGCAGTAAACTCCTGATGTAGTGGCATGAATGACGGTAACCGGGGGTAATGATGAAAATTATGATCAAGTTACTCTTGAGACTTGGATCCGCACTTCCCACCATATGAAATGTTGTGCTCTGCGGCGTCCTTGTCGATGACCAGACCAACATCACCTGTTTGGCCGCTAGAGACCGTCTAGTGCTATCCAAGTGCCTTTTGGAGATGTGCAATTGAGGTGATTCTTTAACATGCGTGCTAGGATTTATTTTCAAAGTTCTCTCCGCCAACTGGATATAGCCCCATTAAAAGAAGTTGCTCCTCCCTGTATGCACATCCTACCTATTATCTTATTCAAATGTAACAGATAATGATGTGATCAAGGGCACAACAGCTGACCTAAAACACATTCCATTAAAAAGTGCACATATCCACCACAGTATGGTCACTTGTGCACATATGATCATCCAAAGTATGGGCAAAACAAATCTGCAGATTTTCCATAGCAAATACTTTAGGCCAGTTGAAATAGGCGGGAAAATAATCTGGATTATTCTCAGTGGACATGAATGGTTTCAGATTGGATGAAATCATAATGTACAGATTGGAATCATCCCATTCTCCTCTAAACCAACCAACACACACATGGTCACCACCTTTAATGAATTCAGCAGGCAGTCATCCCATTCACCACATCCTTGTTGCATATAATCAAGCCCTAATCAAGCCCTTTGAATGATACCCAGAATCAGCTTGTATGATTGCAAGAGAAGGGAAGTGTGGGTATATCAAAATGATCATATAAATGGTGCACTCATCCAGATACAACACTTAGCCCATCCAGATATCACACTTACATTGAATTAATTAGTAATTAGTGGTTTAATTTTTTGAGAAAATTCCCTTTGTGAGAGCAAATGATTAATATGAGAACCATCTCAAACAATCCACTGCAGGCAGATACCTGCAACTAGCACTTGGATATAATAATTGAACTTATTCAATATAAATGCATAATTATTATTAGATATCACTGAAACAGTAATCAATATTTGCTATCTCCACCCCCCCCCCAAATTCTCATAACTGGAGTTTAAATGATTTCCCACATATCCAACTTGGAGGCCAATAAGTCAAATGAACTAACTCAGGACATGTAGATGAATCACAAATCTTTTCTACTATCTAACCATACATTCTTGCTACTATCAACATTGTTGCTTGTCTTCCATTTCTCCCAATCATCCATATTTCTAGTCAAAAGTCCACAAATCAACAAAGGCTTATGGATGTAAATTGGAGGACATGTAGCTAAACCATTTCCCTGGTAAAATCATATAGCAAGTTTTAAATGATTTTCACCACCTACCCCATTTGACAAATCCCCCCATGTTAAACTAATTGAGTTTTGATCATTTACAATCAATATTCATAGGTGGGCATCAAGGAAGCCATAAGGAATTGATGCTCCACATGGAAGTGAATTACAGGGCATTGAGAAGCCAAATAAAAGTATTGCTCTGAGCATTTGATCTTCATCTATGATGTTCTATTTCTATTCATATTAACTAATAAGTTGAAAAATTTACAAAATAAAGCCTTCACTACAAGTTTCAGTGCTAGGGCAAGAAGTATGCCACATTGAATGATGGATGTCCCTTGCACACTGCATAAACATCTTACATGAAATTATGGATGCCCTTTGCACACTGCCAAAACCATGTGGTGCACTGCATGAATTGTGGACAGCTTGACTTCCACATAATGTCGGAGGTTACATCAAGGTTAGGGTTAGTACAAGGTTAGTACAGGGAGTTGTGCACAGCACAAACCCCTGGAACAGGGATTGCCTTTTCTCAATATTTATCTTGACCAAGCAAGACTCATGAGTATTCAGGGTCTTTGTCTAGAGTGAGCTTATGACTCTTTGCCCCAAACTAAAAAATTTACAAAAAAGAAATTAAGAATGATTAAGCCAAAAATCAGCTGCACCCACCTGAAGATCATGTCTCCAAGGACTAGGGACTACAAATTCTTTAGAGCTTAGAAAAGCAATTCCAAAAAAAAAAAAAACAATGGTGTGCATTTTTGAGGACTGCTGAGGCTTTATGATCAGGAGGCTATGAATTCCTCCATGTTCATTGTTCTTAGTAGGTTGTGCCAATTGGTTCATTATGTTTGCATTCCTCTGGAGAGCTTGTCACCAAGCTCAAGGGCCTCCAACCTTTCTGGAGGATAGACAAGCACATCCACAAACACTGGCATACACTTTTCAATATTTCTATGCAATCAGAAGGCTATGAAATCAGACATGTTCATTTTTCTCAGCAGGTTGCATCCCACCATAAAAATCTGCAAGGAATGTTCAATCATGATTTGTTAAATTCATTCAGGCCAATTTCATTGATTCAATATATTTACAAGCCTGTAGAGCTCATAATGATCTTTCTATTATTGTATTTTATTGCATTTTTTGGCAGTTGAACTCTGTTTCTAATTTCAAACAAGTGTCATATTGGCACAATGGAATAATTTTGGCTTTTAAAATTTTGAACTAGGCACAGGAGAAGATAATAGGTTTAGAAGAGAGCCAAGAAAGACAAGGTTCTTTTTTAGGAGAGGCTCACCAAACAAGAATGAGAGAACCAATAATTTTTATTTACAAGGAACTAGCCAGGATTAAATAGACTGAATACAAGTGTGAAAAATGTGTTTGAGTACAAATTGAATAAATATAGAATAAACAATAAAAACTAAGAGAAAGAACTAGTTGATTTCTTGGAAGAAACAATCTCAGCAGGACTTCTCTTCTAAAGAATTAGTTTCTTAAGAATCAAATAGTGAAATAGGAAAAGAAAGAAATCAATCATAAAGACAAGAGTTGTTGAAAAAAATTGCTATGGAGAGTTGTAACATAAGATTCAACATCAAAACAGCTATGAAAGACTATAATTCAGTCCAGATCAAGATGATCCAAGAAAAATAAAAGAGATGGAATGAATGAGATTTTTAGGAGGAGTAGATAGGATCAGAAAAAAATAATGGCATTTTCCAGGAGTGAATTTAAGGTCCAAAGATGACAGTAAGGTAGAAAAATGACTGAAAACATAGGAGAATAATTATATCCAAGAAGCTACTATCATAAATGGCTATATTTCCAACACAACAGATTTTACATTTGGATTTGGAGGAAATCTTTGGTCCCATTCATCACGGTTCAATTGAATAAAGCTTTCCCACTCTGAGGCCGCTTTGCTTTTCCACTTGAACCAGTGATTAGAGATTCTAGGTGCAGGAAAAACACTCCCTTTGAATTGAAAAGCATTATAGTGATACTGGCCTTCTAAATAAACAACAAAGATTGGGGGGTTGTTTGTTGGCCCATAAGTCAAAGGAAGATAGGTTGCAATGATCAAGTTTGAAATGTGAATGACTGGCCGTTGAAAAGCATCTGCGAGAAGATCTCCGTGTCGAGGAAAGTTGATCCAATGGGTCTTGCTCGCAAAAGGATGGAAGTAATTTAGATTGAAGCGCAATTGATCGAAAGGAATGCAATCGGATACCGTGGATAAGTACTTCTCATTTTTGTATACCTCAATTTTATCCATAACTTCCACCATAGCCCTTCGTACATCTTCCCAGGGATTACTTTTGCGGAGGCCCATACTCACAGCTGCTGAACTGAACCCACAATGTCCATCACCTGGAACATTACAGATTAGTGAGATAGAATGCCTCAAATGGGTAGGCACCGAGTTGTACTGAAGATGATCCTGCATTGAGTTGATATGAATTAAGATCAAATATCATCAGATTTTCCAAAACAATTGACAACATCATTGCAGTATTGAAATGTTACCTGGTCAAAACTAATCCATTCAAATGCTTGATCAGTGGTGTCAGAGCTTCTTTTGTTTTTTTCAAAGCTGTGGTTGTCGTCAATTTCCATGGAAACTGGGTCCTCGGATTCCACAATTGGTGCTACTTCTTTCGATGCTGCAATTGGTGCTCGGTTGGTTGGTGCTAGTCCCTCAGACTCTTCAATCTTAACAAGGGAAATCCAGTTGTTCTTGAGGCCGCGTAGCAAAGGGTATGTTTGGGGTAGGAGAAGCTTCTTGATAGGTTGCGAGAAGTGGTGCAATCCCAACTGCCCGGGGTTCTCAGCAATTACTAGTTTAAGGTTTTTTTTCTTGAGTCTATAGAGGGTATCAGTCCCAGGCCATGGGGATGTTGAGTCAGTCAGGCCAATAGCTTGACCTACATGCACAAAAAAACCATAAAAATAATGCACATTGACCTCCCTCCATGACTCTGAGTAAATGGTGAATTGCGAATGAGACAACTTACTGTACATGTCACGGAGCATGGTGGAAAGATAATGATGGTTTTGGGCCAGACCTCCTGAATTTGTTCCAAAAGGAAGAAAGAAAAATCAGCATCTAAGGCAATGTACGGAGAGGGGGGCTGAGCTTACCCTGACACACATCACGATTTTCTTCAGGACTATTGATGTCTGGCTCCTCAGGAGGGTGATAATTGTTGATATCAGGTGTCTTTGAGGTATCATTTGATTTGGCAGCATTGCAAACAGCGCTAACAACTGGTGTGGTGATCTTTGAAGCTGGTTTTGTTCTGATCTTTGTTCCTGCAGTCCAGACAGCAAACCGACAAATTGCATCCCCTTCGTCAATCAGGCCACGCAGAAATACATCCCCAAGCAAACTTCCTCCTTGAAAGAAGTAAGGTTGGCGATGGTCCTGATCAGCAATTACTAAGAAACCTTCAAGTCCAAGCCCATCACTCAACTCCTTCAGCTGATTAACAAATGATTCAAAAACATCAGTAAGTGACACAAATGATGTACTAGTTTAATAATTGGACATACCTTGAGCTGTACACCCTTAGCCCAGATGTCAACATTAGCAAGTAGTTTCTTTGTTGACTGACGCCGGACATCAAACTGTGATCGGTCATCAGCATTAGGATCTTCAGTGGAGTCCGCATCAACCCAGTCGTCATCATCAGTTTTGTTGTAGAGGTCTCGCGAAGCTGGATCTAGTTCTCGGTAGATTTTAGAGGCATCCTTGTTGCGCTGACCAATACTGTTTTGAGCTGAATGAAGGTCAAAATACACAATCAGTGATCTTCTTGAACATTAACGGAAAGAACTGGAACCTACTCTGGTGATACTCCTTTTGGGCTGTCTTTCCAGATGATTGAAATTTATGCCAAGCGCTTTTCTTTTGTCGGGTCCGGCGTTGCCCAAGATATTTTGCGAGAGCCTTGAAAGACCGCTGATGTTTGATTGATAGCAGATGCAGTTGTCGTTGATATTCGAAATACACATCTTGAGCGGCACGTTTCATTTCTTCATTCATTCGTGTATATTTGACGTGTGTCTTCTGGAGCTTACGAAGCTCATGCAACGTGTGGTCTTTGAATGTCTCCATTAATTCGTCGGAGAGTGTAGTATCTTTCTTACGGGGTTGTGATTTAGGACCAGAAGGCGTGTGAGTGGCGGACGTTGGAGATCCCAAATTAAGGCTGGCTTGAGAATTAATGGACTCGATGTTCACTGGAAGAACAGGCGCCTTAGTGCTTTTCTGTCGGGGTTTTGACTTGGCTGGGGGGGCTTCAGTAGTCGTGGCTTGAGTGGTTTGAGTAAGATTTACTTGGGAACCAATGGCCTCAGGGTTCACTGTTGGAACAGATGCAACAGTAGTTGGTTTAGATTTGACCAACTTTTGTTTTTGCTTTTTGGTTTTTTTTGGGGGCGCGAGTATGGCGGGGGTTGGAGGAGCTGTAGTTTGTGGAGAATTTAGGTTCAAAACAGTTGAGACAGCAAGGCTTGAAGGACACGATGGTTTCTGAGTAGTCTGTTGAGCTGAGTTGGTTTGAGCGAGAGTTGGTGGGATGTTGTTTGTGAGGTGAGTGGGTGCAGGTTGCTGAGGGAATTGTTCGTTGCATATTGGGGTGGATGAGTTGTACGAAGTTGGAATAGTTTGAATGGGTGCTTGTGGCTGAGTGAGTTCGTCAGAAATATGGCCTGAGAATCCCGCTAATTGAAAGATATTCTGAGTGCCCCAATGATTGTTTGGCTCGGTCATCTCTGTGTCGAGGCCATTATAATTGTTGAGGCCATTATAATAGTTAGCTGAGTCGTACTGGGTGTATACATGGCCTTCGCTGTCGTGATGATGGGATTGATCGGTGTAATTCCCCAAGTGTTGATATCCAGTGCCACTAAGATCCATAAGCGAGTGACCAGAGGTAAGATCGACAAGCAGGTGACCCAAGCTAAGTTCAGTAAGCGGGCCAGAGCTAAGATCGGTAAGCAGGTGACCAGAGCTAAGATTGGTAAGGGGGTGGCCAGAGCTGACATCAATAATCGGGTGACCGGGGCTAACATCAAGAATCGGGTGGCCAGACTGGTCAAGCTCAGAGTAGCCGTAGTGTTGATTGTTTGACTGCATTGGTGTTGATGCTGATGGGGGGACGAGGTGTTGATGCTGACAGAGGGAAGCGGTGTTGATGCCGAACAGAGGGACGCGGTGTTGATGCCAAACAGAGGAACACAGTGTTGATGCGATGCCGAACAGAGGAACGTGGTGTTGATGCCAAACGGAGGGACAAGGTGTTGACAGCAAGCGGAGGGACGATTGATCGGGTGTTGCTTGGCTGACGATGCAGGTTCGGTGATTTCTGTCTGGTTAAAAGCCAGTTACTACACAGACAAAGACCGGGTTATGTAAGTGTACCAACCAGACAGGACACAACCAGCGACTGGTTTTTTTTTGTGAGTGTATGATAGTGCATACTTTCACATACATAGTTGTCACATAAATACATAGACAGGACTTGTCGAAGTAACTTGTGCTTCGGTAGCCTTTAGCTACTGAGGGACTGTTTGGAGTATGACCGGTGTGGGCTCCCATGTCATACTCTGGAAATGAATCTGGGGGGGAATCCCAATCCGGGATTGGGATTGGGATTGGAATCGGGATTCAATCTAAAACCAGGTGATTTGCACTTTGGAGGGGTCTTCACATGCATTTCTTCCTGCACTTCTCTAGTGTAGGAAAGGGGAGGTCAAAGGTCACCGAGGCCTCCTGAAGGCCCCCGCCGCCTGTAGACGAGCCCCTAGACACCAGGCGACTCCCCAGAGCACCCAGCAGCCCGCTGGAGCGCCCCCAGACCACCCAGTGACCCCTTAGAGCCCCCCAGTGCGCCCCAAGGACACCCTGAGACCCCCTGGAGGACCCCTGGCCGTTTTTTTTTCCAAGACCCAGGCCCCAAACCAGACCCCAGACCCCCAGAACAACCCCATAGACCTCTGTGAGACCCCAGACCCCCCAGAAAGACCCCAAAGCCCCAGGATAAACCCCCGAACCCCTGAAAGAACCCAAGACTCGCAGTGAGACCCCTGCAAGACCCCCAGACCCCCCGAAAAAACCTGAAAGACCCCAGACCCCCCAGAAAAACCCCCGACAGACCCAAGACACCCCAGATCCCCGAAGAGAGCTCACACGAGCCGTTTGGCGAGGCGTAAACGTACAAAAGTAAGCCTCCACAATTTTAGTTGCACCTTCCGAAGTCACTACTCTCACGGCAAAACATTACCTGCCACTCTGTGAGCCGCCCCGCACC